AAAAACAAAATCCCTGGAAATACGCAAGATTGAGTTAAATTGAGATTTTAAAAAATAATAGCAATGTTTTTTATGCATTTATGTACATTTGTAATGTCCATTGTTTCTTCCCATTTCCTAAATTATAATGCATATTTAATTTATTGCTCAATTCATTTACAGAAAATAGAGAATACCTCGTTAAATAATAAAGGATGTACACAAAATTGCATAATGGATATTTTAGAACCAAATTTAAACCATATTAATGTCATCAAAAAATAAGAATCCACTAAGAAAACAAGATCCTAAACTAAAATAATACACAAAAAAAAAGCCCTGGAAATACGCAATTTAAATAGATAAATAGCAAAGGTTTGTATGCATTTATGTACATTTCTTTTGCATATGCATGACATAATTTAGGACAATACAGAGCATTATATCTAACAACATCAGTCCTGCCTTTCAATGTGTTGTTGTTTTAATTGGAGGAACAACAGAAATAGCGATAAGAAGCCGTGTCAAAATGTGTGTTTATGTGAGAGAGACAGAAACGCTGCCCTCCCCGAACACCCCCCGCTACCGTCGCCTCGAGCATCAATTACGGTAATTACTCTCCGCCTGCTGCGGCAGCCACGCGCGGATCAGAGGTCATTAAGGGCGTAAGACCGCTGGACACCACGCTGCAATTAAAGGCGACGGATTAATTCTCTTGGCCATCGCGCGTCAGCACCGAGAGAGAGAGGCGGAGGACGGAAAATGGGCGAGCTTTACCTTTAGACTCGCGACGCTTCACGATCCTTTAACGGAGAGCATCACCGCGCGCTGATGCCGCCTCAATAATCCCCGTTACAAGAAAAAACACGCGCCACAAAACAACTAGACGCGCCTGTTTTAACGATCACCGTGAGCAGCTGCGGCGCTAAATACCGAGACTAACGGGAATAATAAATAATATTGACGCCGCCAACGACGCACCGTCCTCAGGGGCGGGTATGGGTGACGGAAGGGTAGACGGCTCCTCCCGGTGTGTGTGTGTGTGTGTGTGTGTGGCTGACGGGGGGGTGAGGTGAGGAAGCGCCGTTGCGGACACCTCCTGATCATTGGCGGGAAATGATTGTGGAAGCGCGGGAGGCGCGCGGGGGCTGACATACGGGGTCTCGCCGCGCAGCGCGGAGGGTAATGCGTGTCAACTCCTCTCGCGCCCTTTTTTCCCCGCCGACGCCTGAGTGACGGTTATTAGTAACGCGCTTTACAGAAAATAGAGAATACCTCGTTAAATAATAAAGGATGTACACAAAATTGCATAATGGATATTTTAGAACCAAATTTAAACCATATTAATGTCATCAAAAAATAAGAATCCACTAAGAAAACAAGATCCTAAACTAAAATAATACACAAAAAAAAAGCCCTGGAAATACGCAATTTAAATAGATAAATAGCAAAGGTTTGTATGCATTTATGTACATTTCTTTTGCATATGCATGACATAATTTAGGACAATACAGAGCATTATATCTAACAACATCAGTCCTGCCTTTCAATGTGTTGTTGTTTTAATTGGAGGAACAACAGAAATAGCGATAAGAAGCCGTGTCAAAATGTGTGTTTATGTGAGAGAGACAGAAACGCTGCCCTCCCCGAACACCCCCCGCTACCGTCGCCTCGAGCATCAATTACGGTAATTACTCTCCGCCTGCTGCGGCAGCCACGCGCGGATCAGAGGTCATTAAGGGCGTAAGACCGCTGGACACCACGCTGCAATTAAAGGCGACGGATTAATTCTCTTGGCCATCGCGCGTCAGCACCGAGAGAGAGAGAGAGAGAGAGAGAGATAGGGGGGGCGGAGGACGGAAAATGGACGAGCTTTACCTTTAG